TGTTGCTTTTTTACTTTATGACTTTAATTGTTGCAGCTTAATTTTTAATTAATCAACTAATAAACACAGAATATCTTTTCTGAATATTTAAAACTAAACTGTTACTTTAATGGACCAGTGTGTAGGATTTAGCGGTGAATTTGCATATTATAACTCCCTCGCCTCACCCTCCAGTTCCAAGCGTAAAGGAGAAACTACGGCGGCAGCAAAACTTGCTAAAAAAAACGCAAAACGCCCCTTTCTACAGCCAGTGTTTGGTTTGTCCGTTCTGGGCTACTGTAGAAACATGGTGGTTAAACATGGCGGTTGGAAGTCGACCTGCGGCGTCTGTAGATAAAAAAGTCTCATTCTAAGGGAACGAAAACACAACAGTTCTTATATTCAGATGATTATACACAAATGGAAACATACCTCTTGATATTATATTCAATTTCTGCCATAATAATAATAATAATAATAATAATAATAATAAATAATAAATATTACACACTGGACCTTTAAGAAATAATAACTCAAACTTAAAAGGTACCTTGAGGACTTTGACCATTAGGAGCTTTATGTTTTATGTGTTTGCAGCGAAGCAGCAGCAAGGACAGGGAAAGGAGGAAGAGGAAGTAAACATGTTGGTTTGAAAGTGTTCCTCAACCTCAGATTTACAAATGTTTTATGAGGAAGGAAATCATTTCGACACATTTGTCAGAATGCACACGCTGCGTTTTGGTGAGTATCACTGAATATAAACATACAGTAACTTTTAAAAAGAGGATTACACAGGGCACCTTTACAATTTAAGAGCAACTAAAAAACTAAAAAGCTCTGAACGCAAGGTCACTGAAGCTGAAAAATGATATAAAAATGTGATCAATTAAAAATCATACACTGTGATAACCCTGCCAGTGATTCATGTAAAGCAGGAGCTTCAAACTGCCGACCCAGGGGACATTTACAGCCCTCCATCCCTCTTCATCCCTCTCCATCCCTCTTCATCCCGGCATGACATCAAAAATATCACTGAATCTGGCCCACAAGATTATTTCATTATAACATTTTCTAGTTGTTTCACATCAATTTAAACTCCCCCTTCATAAACACTTAAAATAAAAACACAATTCTATTTCTAAAAATGTATTTAGCTTGGTGAAGTTCAAAGGTTGGTAAGAAGACAGTAAGAGGACATACAAATTTATAAAACTGCTGCATTTATTTATTTATTATTATTAATATTATTATTATTATTAAGTATGATGTTAGTGATAGAAATACTTTCAGAATATTGTGCTGTCTTGTAGTAATTGAACTTTGACCTCCTGTGAGATGACAATACCAGCAGTGGCCCTAAGCCAGTTTGATGTAAAGCGATATGTTGGGTGTTGGCACTTGGCAGATGCCCAGTAATATAACAGGCTACAGAGCCCTGCCGCTGAGCATCTAATGCCTTGCTGATCGGCACACTGGCAGCACATTCCCCACAGTTTATAGTCTGAGGATTCGACCTGAAACCTTTATTTTAACGTGTATTATATTAATATATTAATATTTTAATATTTAAAAACACACACACCTCCAAAGTTCACCAGCCTTCCTATCCGTGTGACGGGCACCTTCCTCTCTCTGGACCTTTCACTGAGCTGGAATACAAGAACACATCTAAACTTAAAGGACAATATTGAAGCAATAACAACAACATAGATTATAGATTATATATAATCTGATTCAAACTGATACAAATAAAAGGTGTTACAGTGGATACCACTTGCTTATGTTGCTTGATGTCTGTTTTCTTGCTGTTTCGTGCTTTATCAACGTCCTCCGTCGTCAGCCGCCCCACTGTGGAGTTGTCCTGGTTAAATAACCTCGTATGTCCAGAGAACAGTTGGCGAGACCAGTCCCTGTGGTACTTCTTAGCGCTGGGTGCCCCGCCGCAGGTCCCCTGTCCGCCATTTACACCTCCAACGAAACAGGTACTGAAACCAGCTCCCATAGTCGAGTATCTGCGGAACTGCGCTGCTGTGACTCTGTGGACTTCTTGCAGTTTGTTGAACGTCTCCTGGATGAAAGAACAAGATTCATACGAGCAGAATATAAGTTACTTATTTACTTTCTTGCTTGATTAGAAGCATTCGGACGGTTTGATACCAGGAACAGACACAAACTAATGTCAGAGACTGTCTGTATGGTCAAACTCTGATAAAACATACGACGAAGGTGAGGAAGCAGCAGAAAAATATGGAAATAAAAACTAAGAATTTGTGGTTTTAGTTGCATTTAAGAACCCTGTGGTCGTTTAAACCATCAGTCACGAGATGATTAATGAGGACCAGTGTATATTTTATTATTTCCTTCACTCTTTGCACTTCATTCCTCTGTGCTCCAATCTGAATTTCCCTTACAGGGGGAACAATAAAGGAACATCTTATCTTCTCCTACTTGAACCCATTGTTTGATTTAACTCAAGGCTTTGCCTCTTACATGAGGTATGGGAGAGTTTTACCTCTTAAAATGAACCGACTGAGAAACCTTTCACCATTTGCACGCTGTGACGAGGGCTCACAAGTGGCACCGCTTCCTTTTAAGGGCTCACAAGCCCAAAAAAAGGTTCAGAATCACTGATCCAAACGTTGTTTTGGAGGCTTCACTTCGCTGCAAAGTACAATATTGTGCTGCGAACACTCCACACTCCACCATCAGACATTAAACATCCCTAATTAGTGAAATCCTCTTCCTCCTGTGGCTCCTATTCCAGCACCGTCTGCCTCACAACCCAGAGCCACTATTGTTGATGAGGAGACGCTGGCAGAAACAGACAGAGGAGGTATCTGGGTTGCGTTGTTTGTGAAACTCTATCCCGCCCTGCAGCTGCACGAAGGCCAAAATCACAGGCTGACATGCTCACCCTTGCTGATCCGGCGGCGTGATGGAAGTTTACCAGCCTCTGGTTCCCGGTGCCCTGCAGGACGCCCGGCGGGGCTCTGCTGCTGCCCGCCCGCTTCATCCAAGTCAGACCCCTCCAGACCACAATGTCACCTGTCATGGTTGTTGATGTTCAGAGCTGCAAGAGCCGGGAACAACAGGGTTTGCTTTAGATGGAAGCTGAGGAGGTCATCTGTGTCTGACCATGCTTGTGGGATAAGGCAGGGACTCCATATCCACAGCATGCATGGCAAATACAACCTTAATCAAATGCTGATATAAGGGCAATATTAACCATATCTGACTGTGATAAGAGAAAGAAACACCTGATACATTAAAAAAGTAAGTTAGATGGTTTTTATGTCTGATCTGACTCACAATGAAAAATGAATTAAAAAAAAGGATTTAAGAAGATTTTAAACTTCTTACTCACCAACTTTCCAGCAGACTGTCCTCTCAGCTCCGTGAGCATGCAGCGAGCATCGCGCGACTGCAGCACCAGCAGCCGTTCACCTTGATTTGACTTGACACAATTTCCTTGTAAACACCTCAACTCCAGCAGGGCGACACGCTGAAGGACATGCACACACTCTCCCGAGGCGACCCCGGTGGGGAGGTGAGGGGAGGGAGGGATGGAGAGGAGGGAAGAAGTTCAACTAACACGGGCCAATGAGGCAGAGTTGAGCCGACAGCTCCGGGTGTCAACAAACCTCCGCACTGGTTGCACTGACTGTCAGTCGTCCGTCGTTCCGTCCGCACTCTGGCGGGCTGACGTGGCCACGCGAAAAAGGGCGGGTCCGTGAACTGCACACATGCTGCGTTCACGAGATACCAGAAAAGTATGATGTGTTTTTTTTAATTTTTTATTTCACTTAAGTTTGAATCATAATTCGCACTTCCTGTTTCTCAACATGTTTCGAGGGCAATAACAGTAAAAGTTAAAGTCTGACTAAAGTATCAGGTAAAGTTTTATTAAATAAAAAAAGTAAAAAAAAAAGATTTATGTTTAGTTCAGAAATGTATCTTTCAGATTTAATTAAATTAAATTAACAAAAAAATTGTTAAAAAACAGTAAAAAAAGGTACAAAATAAAGATCCATTTATAAAAAGGTACAGATAATATTCATTAGAAGCTACTTAATTACTTAATTGTATAGCTGTTAATGTTTATTCTTCTGTTACTTGTATTTTATATTTATGTCAGTTAATTGTATAAACATGTTCAGTCCTTTGATAATGAAATTAAATGAAATGAAGTTTAATTTTAGTGTTAGGATTTATTATAATTACGTTAAACTGTTTTTTATGTGGAAATGTAGTAGCATTAAAGTATTGAGACAGATAAACACTTGGATAAAGTAGTATAAAGTTTTTGAAAACTAATTAACACCATTATGTTAAGCACATGACTTACTGCTACTTTTTCTTCTCACAGCACTTTCTGAGAGCTGATAGATGTGTTTAAGGACTTGTCAGTAGTTCATACATGGGGCTGTGTCATTGTCTTTAAATGGCAGATACTGACAAGAAATCTGCATTTCCACATAGTATTTAACTACGGTCAGGTTGGAAAATCCCTTAAATCAGCATTTACATCATTAAACTTTCCCATCAAAACAAATGAAAGTGTTTACAGTGTGTTAGCAGCTGTGAAACACATCTAAAGTACTCAACAGTAGCATGAAACGAATTCAAAAGCAGGATCTTATGAGGAGCACTTGAAGGCAACAAAACCCCATACAGCTGTGAACTGTGAACTGATTCACAGCCGTTAGAGTTTGGCTACAGCAGATGATGTTCAGGAAATGATGAATCACCTTTTAATTATAGAGAAAGAGCAGCAACGTTGGAATAAATAGTACAAGTGACCGGGAAAATGAATGACATCACTACTCTGCTTAAATCTGTTGAAGAGAAACTTGAAAATGAAAACAGTGGCATGGTATGATTACTGACTTTACAGTGACATAAATGTTTAAATGAGTGACCATGACTGATGTCAGCTGTTATTTTTGTTACATGACAAGGTGTTTATGAAATGTTGGATGTTTCAGATGTATCACGCACATGAAAAATATACAACTCGTGTGTGAAATTGTTATCTCATCTGCCTTTATTTAAGAATACATGGAGATAAATAAACGTCTTTCAAGCACAGTTAAATAGTCCACATGCAGATGTTTTAGCTCTGATGTTACACTTCAGGGAATCTTGGTTCAGTCAGACTTCCCAATAAAGTTACTCAGACACATAATTCAGGATATTCCAGACTGATGAAATAAAACTTTCAAGGGTTTCGTCATGGTCTTAGGGCAGACTTCAGCTTTGGAAAAAGTCGCAGGGCGTTCTGTGTCGTCACCTCCATCACCGTCTGCAGAGACACTCCTTTGATCTTACTGATGTACTCCGCAGAGATACAGATGTTTTTGGGCTCATTTCTCACCTGCATTCAGGACACACAACAACACGGATGCGACATGAGAGGGTGAATACAACTTAAGGTATTTGAATGATATAAGAAATATAACAAATTTTAGTTGCATGTGTCACAAATGTAAAAGAAAAAGCCAATGAGATATTGCAAATATCTCTTAAAAATCAAATAACAAACAGGTCACAACTTAAAAACTATAACAGCCATAAATGGACTGCTGACAAATATCCTCAGTTTTTGGCATTTCAGCAATTTATTTAGTTTCAATCGGAGGGAATAAAAATACTTTACCTGCTTTTCTGGACCGAGAGCAGGTGAATCAGTTTCGAGACAGATGTTCTCTAATGGCAGCTGTTTCACAAGTTTCTGCTTCTTGGTGGAAAATACACAAAGACACAATCATTAACATTCAACATGATAAAGTCAACCAATATAAACCATGTTAACGTATGTCAGTAGTGTAGTTGTGTAAATTATAGATGCTCGCACACAAACAGACAAAGATATTCAAACAATTTGTCTATGTCTATAAAATTCAGCTTTTTGTTTATTTACAAACATAAAAGATAAATAGGAATATGTAAGTGTATACGTGTTAGTGAGAGGAAATTTAAACCAGGCTGTGTTATGATACGGTGTAAATGTAACATGATCAGGTGTCCTGCTGTACCTGTTCACTCCGTATGATGGACGGTGGGATGGAGAAGAAATATCCAGCCTTCACTCCCTCCATGGCAACAGACGGTTTCCCATCAAAAGCATGAAGCAGGGCTTTTTCGACACCTAGTGGCATTTCAGAGGAATTGCGATTTACTTCTCAAAGCAGTTTATCTACAGGTTAAGTGAGGATCTCAGCCCAGCTGTTTACCTTGCTCCTTCAGGAGGTGGATGGTGGGTCTTCCTGCAGAGCGCGAATGAACATTTCTAGAAAGAAAACACACACGCTAAAATATTATGGAAGTCACATGAAGTGTTTCATGTTACTGCGCTGACTGAGACTCTTTTACAAACACATTAATCCAATTATGATACCAGCCTAGAACATGTATTAATTATTCTATTGAAGTATTGAAGATTTTCAGTCAAATATTATGTGAGAGTGGAGTTCTTAAATTACAATATTATCAGGAAAAAGACACCCGGACATTGATTAGAGGCTCCTGAAAAGGAGGTATTGAGTACAATTACAAGATTTTGTCTTCATCAGGTAATGATGAAAGACGTAATGTTGTAATTATGTGTGTAAATATCTTTTTCTTTATATTGTTTTTGCCTTAACACGTACAGAAGGCACAGGGAATGGACCTCACATTTCGAGATGTGTATACACTATCTTGTGAAGCTTAGATTCAGATTTTACCAGCAGAGTTAATGTCATGTACAGAGCTACAGACTCACAGGGGAAGATCCAGTTCTTTGGCTATCTGTGCCTGACGAATGAGGACCTGCCTTTGGCTCTCCTTGTCAGTGTCACAGCTGACATATCTGGGTGTAAAATCCAAACCGACCTAAAATAACAGACACGAAAAAGAGTTATCTGAACGCCAAAGAAAGCCAGGAGAGCAAACCGCCTTTCAATTGAGTCACACCAGAAATGCTGAATTATTACCTCACCAATGGCCACAAGCTGGTCTTTGTATTTCTCTATTATGGGCAGAGCAGCATCTAAATCCTGCATAATAGACAGAAATGTACCCACATTATAAAAAAAAAAAAACATCACTTACCCTTTGTTTTGAGATATCTGTCTCTGAGATTGATGCCACCATCACAGCACTGTGGGTGTGACTGGCTTTATGTTTGCAGTAAAGTGCACACACACACACACACACACACACACACACACACACACACACACACACACACACACACACACACACACATACATATATGTGTATCTGGGTTCTCAAACCTTGTTAAACTCAAACACCAGTACTGTACATGAGTCATGTCAGTGCACTCAACCCTAACCTGGAGAGAAGCCCCTCTCTGTTGCTCTGGGGACACTTCTTGAACAGGATGGACTCCGAGGCAGGGAAAGAGAAAACCTGGAAACCTGAGGAGAAATGACAACGTCAGTACAATGAGAGAACTCAACTTATGTCACTTTAATCGTTTTAGTTACCTCTGTGACAACTCGATAACCTTTTCAAATTCCCCGGCATGCTCTGCCACAGCTAACAGCGCCAACAGCCCAGCCTGGGAAACAATAAAGCCAATCAATCAGTGAAAACACACATAACAATAAGGACTCCAGGCAGAGCTTGTTAGCTGACAGGACTCACCTTTTTTGAGCTCTCAATCACCTCCTCTATGTCCTGACAACAACAACAACAACAACAACAAAAACAACAGGAAAAGTTCACGTGTTATACGATGTTTCAGAGGTAAAACGTTCCACTTTTATCCTTTTAAAGGGCGGACACACCTTGTCAAAATCCCCCGCAGAGATATGACAGTGGCAGTCGACGTAGCCGTGCATGTGGGCCGCGTTCAAACCCCAAAACATTAGCTACTTCCGCTAAGAGAAAGTGGACCGCGCATGCGTTCTAGAACGCAGCGTTTCCTGGGAGATAGGCGTTCCATCGCGTCTGATTGGTCGAACTGGATTCTGGAACTGAAACAGTAACATTAGAGGGTTTCCTCCTTGTGTTGTTGCCGCCCCCGTCCTCCCGGTCGTTTGTTCTGATCCACGATTTGACCCACTAATGGGTTTATTCGCCGTTTGTTTCGTTGTGTCGATGCTGATCGGAACCGGCGGAGCAAGATACGAACCGAACTGGAAATCCATCGACTCCAGACCGCTGCCACAGTGGTACGATCGGGCCAAGTTCGGCATCTTCATACACTGGGGGGTCTTCTCTGTTCCCAGCTTCGGCAGCGAGTGGTTCTGGTGAGTTTTGTTCCCCGTTTCAAGCAGTTTAGCCTCAGTTAACATATTGTTACATGATTTAAACTTGGTACGGTTATAGAGCAAGATAAGTCCCGCTGCTGGTATCCAGGCAACCACATAAGATAAAGATATATATTAATATTTAAAAGATAGATAAAAGCATACATACAATTCACTAATTCTCAGATGAAGTCACAAATAATAGTTGGAGAGGGTTTGGAAGAAGATCCGGCATAATAATAAATAAAATAAAATAAAATCTCACCTCACTAGCTTTCAGTCATGTTTCATGGTCTTCTTCAGCAGATGGAGTTCAATACAGGTGCTCACGTTTCCATTTGTTTGCCTTGTTTAAAGATTAAAATCCGAGGTTCAGAGCCGATCATCTGCTGATGGAAGATCAATTGGTTTGATCGAAAGCTCCAGAACAGCCACTGAATTGATCCTTGGTGGCGTTCAAGGTCTAGAATGAACTTTCAACCACAGCTTTTAAGTTAACAGGGACAACGAGTCCTTAAAGTGCTCAGTAAAAGTCTACAGTGAACTTTAAAACCTAAAGAAATTGTGGTTATTGTATTATTATTATTATTATTATTATAACATGTCTCTGTATAATCATAGCAGTGGACATTTTTAACTTATCTTTAAATCGCTACAGACTTCAGCCCGTTTTTGCCTTTGTTTCCTGTTGCAGGTGGTACTGGCAGAAGGAAAAACTAAAGCCGTATGTTGACTTCATGCAGAGGAACTATCCTCCAGACTTCAGGTATCAAGACTTCGCACCGCAGTTCACTGCTGAGTTCTTTGACGCCAAAGAATGGACGGACATCTTGGCCTCATCCGGAGCAAAGTACATCGTCCTGACCACGAAACACCATGAAGGTACAGGACATGGTCGACACCCTGTCTCAGTTATTTGTTCAGAGCTTTTCAAAGCGCTAAAATAAAGACATGATTCCACCTGTTTGGCGTTTTAAGAGATGTATTGTTTTATATATTTTCCAGGTTTCACACTATGGGGCTCAAAAAGCTCGTGGAACTGGAACGCAGTGGATGTTGGACCAAAAAGAGATCTGGTAGATGAAGTGGCGAGCGCCCTGCGTGCCAACAGCGACCTGCGTTTAGGGCTGTATCACTCTCTGTTTGAGTGGTTTAATCCGCTCTTTGAACAGGACGCTGCCAACGCCTTCACTACGAACGACTTCCCCACCAGTAAAACTCTGCCTGAGCTTTATGAGCTCATTCTCAAGTACAAACCAGAGGTGCTGTGGTCTGACGGGGACGGAGACGCCCCTGACAAGTACTGGAACAGCACAGGTTTCTTAGCCTGGCTCTATAATGATAGGTAATCCAGTTAAATTATACGGTAAGTGTGTGTTTAAGATAGCCAGTGTGATATTAACCTGTACTCCTTCACAGCCCGGTACGAGACACAGTGGTGACGAATGATCGCTGGGGCTACGGCTCCATCTGCACCCACGGTGGATATTACACCTGCGCTGATCGCTACCAGCCGGGACACCTGCTCAAACACAAGTGGGAGAACTGCATGACCATCGACACAAAGTCCTGGGGTTACAGACGCAACGCCGCTCTCAGTGACTACCTGACCATCGAGCAGCTTGTAGCGGTGAGAGCCGAACACCTCATTAACCTTTATAGATTGTCTCTGCTCTACAAGTTTAAGCCCTATTTGCTCTGAAGGAACAGCGCCCTCCAGCTGTAAAGAAATCTTTGTGCAGTAAAGACATAAGTTTGGTCATTTTAATCAATTTCCAGGTGTTTCTGTGACTTGAAAACTAGTCTTTAAATTTCCAGGTTTTCCAGGATGTATGGGAACCCTGCTGTAATATAATGTATTGATGTTCAGCCGTCATATATAAAGCATGTTAAACTCTGATGTGTGTGTTTCAGACACTGGTGGAGACTGTGTCCTGTGGGGGAAACCTGCTGATGAACATCGGCCCGACTCACGACGGAAGGATCGCTCCCATCTTCGAGGAGCGTCTGAGGCAGATGGGTCAGTGGCTGAAGGTCAACGGGGAGGCCATCTACAACACAACAGCATGGCGGGCTCAGAATGACACCGTCACTCCCAACATCTGGTGGGTGTTTGGTTAATATGTTTGGTTTACAGTCACCAACCAGTTGTTTAAATCAGCCTGTAGATCCCTTTTTCGAAGGAAATGTATAGTTTAAAGATTAGATTATTTTCCTCATTGTTCTATATTATTTGGCTGTTCAATACAAATATTAGTTCAATTTGAAGTTCAGTGCCTCACTAAACTCCTATATGAACAGTTCCTGTGGTGGAAGAGCAGCTACGAGTCTCGTTTCTTAGCCTACCTCACGCTTTAATGTCTTTCTACATCGTCTGTGGTGTGAAAACATCAGATTTCATTACACAGTCTTACACAAACACACAAAACTTACCTATGAATAATATATTAAATTTCTGCCAATTGAGCCTCCTAAATCTTTCACACTGAACCTTTTAAGTGGACACGATTTATTTAGCCAAAAGCAAAATTCATCCATTACAGCACCACATTAGAAATACGTCCTGGACATTTTTTTGTAGCTGTGTGTGATTTAATCTCCTCTTTCCAACTAACGTGTAATCAGCTATTGTTAATTATATCTTTTACGCTCATACAGAAGCCTTTATATTAAAGATTATATGTATAATTAATCATCAACAGGTACACTTTCAGACCGCAGGAAAAGAGCATCTTTGCCGTTTTACTGGAGTGGCCCAATAATGGATCTGTGATTCTGAATGAACCTGTGGTTACACAAGGAGAGACTCAGGTAAGACTAGTGCACTACAGAAATGACAATGATATTTTCTCTATATCTAGTTTATTTTTCAACTGCAAAACTTTCTGCTCAGTATATAACCATGGTCACAATTCTTTAAAAAAAAAAAACCTGATTTAAAAGATCCTTTGTATATAGGCTGATATATCCTTTTTGGATTCTTTTATAACTCAATATAAGTATCAACCACAGAAATTCAGAACTAGACGGACTCATCACATCACTTAACACACACATGGGGTTCAGTAGATGCTGTTTTTAAATGGATTCTTAAAGGCAGCTACTTATGTTTTTAAACTGAAATCACCAACGGTATTTTTCTTTTGCTGAGAGTATGCAACAGTTATTTTTATTATCGATTTTATCTAACGGCTATTTTATAATTATTATTATAATGATTCATAAATTATAAGTAAATTAAAAGTCAGAAAATATTGAAAAAGCAAAAGTATTTAGTGTACTATGAAATAAAGCAGAAAAAGCAGCAGATCCTCACACTGGAGAAGCTGTAAATTTGCTAATTGTATCAGATCTAACACCATAAACTGATTAAATGAATTAAATCTGCAAAGAAAAAAGGTATCACTGTTTTTATAGACTGTTACAATGTAGCTGCAACTCGGCAAGAGTCTCCATCACGTTAGCAGAGAAAGAAATGACTGGCCAGTATTTAATTAAAGGCTCAATATATTGGCGTACTGGTTTAACCCTGCTCAAGTGTCCAATATCCACACTGCATCGTGGGAAATGAGGTTGATTCCTAGTTCACAAAGCAGTCTGTTTTTATCTCCCGTTCTGTCAACATGTCAACCTTGTTCACGTGTGTGGCTTTTGTTCTAAAAAAAGGTGGCGTTTCTCGGTCACGGGTCTCTGCAGTGGGAGCCTGTAAAGCCCAGCGGACTGCGGGTTCTCCTGCCCCAGCTGTCCTTCAGCCAGATGCCATGCCAGTGGGGCTGGACACTGAGGCTGACAGGTGCCACTTAAAGGGAAACCAGATCACATGACGAGGAACGGACGGAGCTGCGGGGGCCGAAAGAGAAGGACCCAGCAATTTATGTGATTTAAATCACAGAACAAAACCCAGAAAATGTACTGGACAGTCTGTAGCTTGCATTATACGCGGGGAGTGGAGATCATTGTTTTTTTTTTGTATTGGGTGACTTTTATGATCAAAGTCTTTTAAGTTTCTTAACTTTGGGACACAGAAGTCATGTTTAAGTGCAGAAAAGGTTGATTTATAGCCTGTAGGCGTTAATCTACAGGGTTACATGTGACAAATGTGAGGAAAATAGTATTTGCATGTTATTTCCATGCAGTCTGCAGCACAGATTGATGTGTTGGGGTTTGTTTTACATGTAAAGGAATGTGTAAATAAAATAAATGAAGCCTTCAAGCACCGTATTTTTTCATAATCTAATATTTCATGTGGGGGAAAAAAGAAAAGAAAATATCCCTGAAACAAAAGGAATTTTCTTATCATTTTTGATTGTATCAGCTTGACTTTATCCCTCCTGATCAGTCCTGTATTATCTCAGGTATTGCGTCCAGTTAGCGCCCCCTGCTGATAACATCTGTAACAACTCCCCCCTCCCTCCCTCACTCCTCCTCCAGCCGTGCGGGACATTTTAAAGCACGCTGACGGCGCAAAATTGATCTGTACCCCCCAGCTGTACACAGGCGAGCCAGGAAAACACCATTCCCTGTCATGCATCAGAGAAATATGGGTGAAATGAAATGATCTGCATGTTGCACAGTGGCCGGTAAGCCTCGGTCCCCCCCCCCACCCCGCAGCTTCACACCGCGATCCCACTGTTTTAAAGCCATAAATGTGCGCTTCTTCCTCCGCCGAGCCACAATAGCGAGAGGTGTGTTTGTCACCTAAGATGGTGAGTCCGGCGCAGGGCAGATCTCTCTGTTGTGTCTGCTCTCTGTTGCACGCCTTTAAGGTGGGAGGTCCCTGTTCTGCAAATGTTCCATGACGTGCAAATGGGGGGATTGCAAGGGGTTCTCACGTCCGTGCATTTCCCCCCCCTTCAGCAGGCTATCCCCAGCCTGGGACCCGCACATGACAGCTGATCCCCCAAACAACAACAACAACAACAACAACAGCAGCAGCAGAAAGATGTGAGGGTGCAGATTGATTGAACAGTTTTTAGAAAGTTATGTTTTTTTTTCTTCTAATGTAGGGCAGCATGATTGTTTTCATTAATGATCAATATGTTGATTATTTTCTTGATTAATCGTTTGAGCCATAAAATCTATAAAAGAAAATACTAAAAGAACTGACATACTCAAATTGCTTGTTTTGTATGACCAAGAGTCCCAAACTCAAATATATTTAGTTCGATTAATCATTCAATCAATCCTCAATCAATGCATTTTTATTTCTTGAATATATAAACTGTTTGGAATAGTGGGAAATGCTCATATAATTTCTCAGAGAGATTTCTTTTGTCTGACCTTTGATACAAAACCCTGAAATATTGAGGTCACTGTTACAGAAAACGAGCAAATATTCACATTTGAGGAGCTGGAACGAGTGAATTCTTGACATTTTTGCTTATAAAATTACAATAATCGACTGAATTTTGACCAATCATTTAAGATCTAGTGTGATGTGAAATCATATTGTAGGACTTAAACAGCAGTACACTGCATTAAACATTAATTTCTCATTTGGTTTTGCACAAAATCATCATAAACTAAAATTCAAATATTCCCAAATTGCCTAGAACTAAATGAAGGCATCATTTTAGACAATATTTACCTTTTCTTTATGTATGACTCTATGTTAATTCACGCTGCGAGCAGCTCTATTTCAATGCCTATAACTGTGTGATCATATTATTGATGCAATGTGTGGCTGAAGCACATTTTCTCCACTCATTTCTGTAGTCTTGGTGCTGTAATCTTTGGCTGGTAATTATATATGTAGACAGGAACTGGGAAACTGCTACAGACATTGGCACGGTTGCCATGGAAACACACAATCATGTCAGATTATTTTCAGGTACTGCTGTGATAATGGCATAAGTGCGCCTGGTTTGAGAGGCTGACTTAAGGACGCGGAGAAATGAAACAATGGTCTGATTGATCGATTTTTTTTTTTAAATGATCCATTGAGTGAGAGGTGGGGACATTTCTGTTGGTGTTAGTATCAACCTGAGGCGTTCAGTGTCCCCTGAAACTGATATCTCGGTCAGCCATATGACAGCCACTACAGCCAGCAGTGAGGAAAACCTCATTTCTTCCATTCACAAACATTCCCTCAGTGTCTCTCTCTCTCTCTCTCTCTCTCTCTGTGTGTGTGTGTGTGTGTGAGAGAGAGTGTGTGTGAGTTGTCTCCTCTGTCGTCTGTTTTAGCACTAATATCATTAGAGGCCTTTTCTTGCAGTCGGGTGCTATGTGTGGCATTCAATCACATGCAAATTTGTGGCAGATTTGAGCCGGTCAACGGAGCCTCAGTGTAGCTTTAGATAGAGGAAATGCCAAGCAGTGTGGAACATCCTGGGGGACAGACCATTATATTTATAGAGATGGGCGACTTGACCTTCACTGCACATTGAGTATCAGCCATTTTAGTGCCGCTCCTCTAGATACTGAATACAGCATAATGGATCTCAGCTGCAGTGCAGTTAGTTAGCTTCAACTTCATCTTCAGCTTGTTAGAGGCTATATCTAATAATAGCTCCCTGCAATTCCATACTGTGGAGGGACTCTGTCGATACACAGTCTCTGCATTCGCTGCTTTTCTTTTGGCACTCGAGCGAGTTGAAGTTTTCTAAAAGGAAATGCACTGTGAAATTACAGTTTTTCCATGCAGGAAGTAAAAGGCTTGCCATTTGGGTAGGATTTTGTACTCAAGAGGTGAAGTTCAACTATAAGTCGTTACATAAGTTTAAAGCCTTTGTTCTGCTGTGTAAGCTTTTATGTTAAGAGTGAGATATGCCTCAGCCATAGCCCAAAGCCAAGGACTCCTATTCATAGAGGCACCCAGTTGTTCTCACCCAATGGCACAGAGTGAAACTGAGGAGGATGGTCAAAGCGGGTGAAGTATTTATAGTTGTGTAAATTATATTGTGCTGAAAGGCCAAAGATTCACACAAATGACTGAGGTGGAGGGATCGTAAAAATCCAGTCAAATCAGGGGAAAGACCCATTAAGAGCAGCTTCCAAACAAATTATGGTAGAAATGGACTACAGGTAAGGAGGTTTTGGCTTGTATCCAACCATCACTTCAAATTAAAATTCAAGTCAAATTCAGGCGTGTGTTATTATTACCTGTAGTTAGGCTGGCCCAGGTGCTAAGGACTATTAGTAGTTACATTTATAGCAGTCTATTGTAGTGTAGTCTATTTTTTCATCATCATCTAATGTATCTATCGACCGCTTTTCATGATACTCAAAGACACTATTATATTTTATATTTATTTTATTTGCTTTAAAGCTAGTTACATAATCTTGTAAGTAAGCAATCTAAAGTTGTAGACGGTCAAAGTGGAGTTTATAAGTACTTTATACAGTATACAGCTGGGTAGCTCAATATATCATATTTTTTATAAGCTAATGATGATTATCTGAAAAAGTAACTTTAGTTGTCAAATAACAGAAACATTTCTAGTTGCCTGTCCAGGTCATATTTCCATCGAAATAACTTGTTGATCAGGAAGCATCACAGGCTTTGTACTGAGAAATTATAATAGAAGACAAAGTAAATCTCTTGACGCTTTCAGGGAAATATGACAAGCTGCTATAGTAAAATAAATGATAGATTAAAAGTAACGACACAAATGTCTGACATCTTATCCCTATCTTAATGATGTAATTAGGCGATTAAGTCTCAATTTAAAATATAATAAAACTGCATTTACTTGAGGAGAGCTTAACAATACAGTCTGTGGCTCTGGGCTTATAAAAATAGAATCATTAGAGCATTTGAATTTGAGTAAAATCATGTAACGAGGACGTACTTATGGATACGACTTTCAGAAGTTACTGTAGAAGCTGTAATAGCACCACGTCACACTGAACTCATACATCTGATTCACAGGATGAGGTTTGCAGCTGCACATAATCTGCAGTATTGTCCTAGTTTTTCCCGTGTTAATGACACCCTCATCACGACTCTCTCCATTCACAAAGCAAATCCTGTCGTGATGGGAAGAACTGGCTCTGAACAGCCTGTGGGTGTCTAAGAAATTCAGAGAACATGTCTAATTTTTGCAGCATCCTCACAGCCAGCCACATGCTGTCTTTTCATTGAGTTCCTCTCTATATACAAAGTGAATAGGATCACGCTGTAGGAAATGTATATTCAGGGCTGCTGCACCATGTGATTAGTGTCTTTCAAAGTGCTTGTCACTTTTTGCGTTTCTCCTCTTCTCTGCTTATATTCACACGCTCTGTCCAAGTGATTTATATCATAATAGTTCATGAATGTGTGTACCTGAATGAATTCCAGATCACTAAATATCAGGCTAAAATAAATGATTGAATCTGGGGATGAATGAACACCGGCGATCGAGAAAGGTGATGTTTAGCTCTTTGCATCATGATATCTGACTCCCCACTTTGTGTGTAGTGTGAGGCAGCTGCTGAAACACAGTGAGAGAGGAAAAGCGTCCTTAATGTGGGCTGTTGTGTAATCCCTCCCAGGGCCCCTTTGCTATTTTTGTGCCTGGGTCCGCACGTCACGGTTGGGTATTTTCTCTGGTGACTAGCTCGCATCAATAGATCTTCTAATGTACACCCAGTCAGCCAGCAGCTTCATGACTGATGGGACTTTACCTTGCTAATTTATTTCATTATTGTTTCCCAGACATGAGGAGAATGGAGAAACGGACTATGCAGCATGAGGAATGTCACATGTGACTGTCGATATGGGACAGGGGACTATTCAAATGTCAGGTTTGTATGAGGATTATATTTGATATCTGAATGTCAGCTGGTGTATGAGCCGAAGCTTTCTTCCCATCAGACCGTGTGCTTTATGTCATTCTGATCACACTGAGAGCTGTTGATTGATTCTGCATGCTATGTGCTATGTTGCTGTTAGAGTACCACAGAGGGTTTTACCATCCAGCTTCTCTGAAGCCGGTCATCTCCTTATGATATTTATGGATTTGTTGTCAGCGTGAGGCTTCATGCCTGTTTCCTTTAATGGCTAACTTAGCCTCTAATGATGTAATGCAGCGGCATAACGATGCTCCCCATAACCAGCATTTGTTTGCTCATTGTCCTCTCTCGTGTGTGGAAAGCAGTAAGGGATGTGCCCCACGGATGTCTGCTGTTCAAATAAATCTCTCCATAAAGTAATTTCTCCATCCATGCGGACATACTGTATCACAGTCAGCCCACTATCGTCCTGAAACACACCTACTGCCACCCACCTGC